TTAAAATTATACTATGCCCAAATATTTTAACTAAATTAAATTATTACCCTATATTTTATAAAATAAGATATTTACTCAATTTTTTAAAATTATATATTACCCCATATTTTAGCTAAATTATATTATGACCCCTATGTTTTTATTAAATAAGATATTTACCCCTAAATTTTTAATAATTATAAATTAATCTCTATTTTTATGAAATTCCAAATTGGCCTAAATATTTATCTAATTTCTAAATTAACCCATAAGCTTCAATGAAATCACAATTTATTCTCTATTGGACCATTAACTTCATCATTTCAATAATTTTGATTTTTTAATCCTTTCTGTATACAATTATACTTGAAGCTAAAAATTCTTTTTGTAATTGTTAATTTGTTTTTAAATAGTAATTAAATTATGAAGAGTATCGCAATAGTAGTTGTTATTTAATAATTATTAATAATAATTAATTATCAAAAAATAGTAATTATCAGTAAACAGTTACTGGTAATTATAAATCGATTGATAAACATTTCATAATTATCAAAAAAAATAACTATTAATGATGGTTTGATTGATGAACAGTATAACAGTTAATTTATGAACATTAGGGTAAATAGTAAGTACTGATAAACAGTAATTAATAATTGTCAATTAAATAATGAACAGTTTAATTAGTAATTAATTAACAAATAGTATTTAAACTATAAATTATAAGTTATAAATAAAGTAATGTTTAATAGCTGGTCTTTGATTACTATTAATTAACTATGTAGCTAATTACAAATTGCTTTTTAATCGATAAATGCATGAATAAACGAATAGTGCAATGTTCTTGTCTTAAGCATTACAACTACAAGTAATACTACTACTAAAAAAGTACCACTACCGCTACCATTGCTACTGTTACTACGGCCACTGCCAGCTACTAGGGGTGGGCGCGGGTCGGGTACTCGCCTCTAACATGATTTGGTTGATTCAACCCTAATATATTGAATCAGCTATTTTGTGACTCTAACCCGTTCCTAATATCTTTAGGTACCCGAAAAAAAAGAACGGATCATAGGGTACCCGTCCCTAAAAGAAAATTTATTTTTCAATAAAAAAAATTGCTTTGCACTTAATACCAACATGTTTTTCAATAAAAAAAAAAAACATGCTTTCCAATTAATATTGGTAGAGATATTGTAATCAAAATCCAAACATCACCGCTCTCACGCATTTCATCCAACAGTCAAACCGATCTCATAAATTTAGTACATATTAGAATTATAATATCTAATAGACAAAACGAAGTTTTATGATAATTTTGAGTACATCACCATTTTCACACATTTCATTCTTTTATAACACAGCAAACACAAGGATAATAAGTATCTGGCAACTTCCCCAACTTCCTTAAGAATGTTATGGTACAAGACTATGTTGACCATAGTTCCTAACTTTTGATGATTACAAAACAAATGGGTGTTGCTAACATCTCCTCAAAGGCTTTTTCAGTAATGAAACAAATCAGGTTCAAAGATTAAGCATATTTGAAAAAGACAGAGTATGCTGAACCTGTCGGACGCTCAAGAAGACAGTACCGGACGTCCGATAATCATTGCACAACTTCGGACGCATACTTCGGACGTCCGATAGGATCTTTCGAAGTCGACAAAACTATCGGACGCTGAATATGTCTCTACCGGACGTCCGATAGAAACAAGATAATTTCTCAAATCTCTTTGTTTGCTGTCGGACGCACAAAAAACTTGCACCGGACGTCCGAAAGAATTGAAGAAAATCTCTTAAACTCACTGCCTGCTGTCGGACGCATAAAACAGGGCTATCGGACGTCCGACACTCCAACGGCTAGTTGACTCTTCAGCTACTTTCTATCCGTTGGAAGCACTAATGAGGCACTTTCTTGATCCTATATAAATAGTGGTTGGTCAGATATTTCAAACAACTTTTGCACACTGAAGATACAAAAGATCTAGAGTGATTTTAGTGAGAAAAAATTCTTCAAGGAAGATTTGTAGTCTTAGTGGTGTGAGGTTCATTGTAAGCTTTTCATTTGTGAGTGAATACTTCATGAGTGTAGCTCTGTGAGGGTTGTCCTGAGGGATAGTAAAACGTCCTAACTTGACCGAGTGGAGTTCGGGGCAAGGAGGAGGTGAACCTTCATTTGTACACAAGAGTGATTGTAATTCATCAACTTGAAGAAGCTTGTTTGAATTAATCTACAAGCTCAAGAGGAGTTGGGTAGTTAATTGGTTTGCAATTCTTTCCTTTTTATTTACTTATTGTTACATTTGTGATCTGTACATTGTTGTTTATCTCTTCCACTTGGTTGTCTTCGATCCTTACAGACTACATCCCAAATGAGTCGACTGTGGAATCAAGTTTAGAAAAGAATTGAACAGAGCTAATTATTTTTGAAAAAAGTATAACCAAAATAAACTTGAAAAATCTTCCCCAACTTCCTTACATCTTTGGGATAGACCTTATGGCACTAAAGGTAATGAAAAAGAGACAAATATAAGAGACATAACTGCAATACAATAAATCAAATAAATAAATAAATGAAAGACACAAATGTTTTAATTATCTAGCTAACAGAAAATTGGAACTCCAAACACAAATCTTTGATTGAATTGATGAAAAATTTGCAAGAAAGATCGATGGAGGTAGCATAAAAATAAAAAAAGAAGGAAAGGGATGAACAATTTTTATGATAAAGTTTCACAAATTATTTTTCATTTTGTTCATTTGATTTAGGTTTCATTGAGAATATTTGCTTGACAATATAAGGAGAGGCTGATCATATAGAATTAAAATATAAGGTTGCGAGTCACTTCACTTACATTTAGGATTAAAAATTATAAAATTATCCCTAATTTTTTAATATTTGTATAATATACCCTGCAGGTCGAGTACCCGTGGATTTTTATTTTTCTAATCTGTATCCGTATTCGTTTTTTGCGAGTATCCGACTTTCATCTGCTCCACTAAGAAAAATCAGATCAGATATCCTATTTTTCGAATTGAATCGGATTGGATTCATGGGATTTTTGGATTGACGGATATTTTTGCCCACCCCTACCAGCTACAACAATCTCGTATTAAGGAAGAGAACACCCTACTACTCCTAAGTACTATCACCACTACTCCCATAGCTATTACTACTACTACAACTTTTGTCTGTAAAGACAAGAAGAATGCGAGTTAGTTAGTTAGTGTGATAATAGGAGTTGATGGCGATAATTTCCTATTTTGTTTATTCTTAATTTCCTATTTTGCGTAACAAGATTGCAATTACAACCCAAGAAATAATAAGTATTTAGTCATGGACTTAGAAACCCCCTATTTGTCAATAGAAATATTCAAATGCTAGAACATTCATTTTTCCTTTTTTTTTTTTAAAAAAAAAAGCAAACTTTATTTGCTTACATTCATGCACAAAAAGAATGTCAGAGATGATAATTTTTATCTTCTTTATTTATTTATTTATTACTAACTATCCTACTTTTCTACTTTGAACACATGCACTTAATTGACATTCTCTTAAATTTGAATTGTTACCTGTCATTCAATCATGACTTGGACATGTAACTTTTACATATTAATCTTACTCACACTAATGGTGCAAAACTACTAGTAGTAAACGGGCCTAGATACATATATTTATGTATTACCTCATTTGTTCAAATTCATCTCTTCTACTCCACAAACTATTACTTTTCACTGTACACTACCTTCAAACGTCTAGATGTCAAGAATGAAGCAAAATACAATTATTATTTTATATTTATTACCATTAATGGATACCACATACATATATTTTCCATAATTTGTTTATCAATAGATACTTTTAAAAGTGAAGTAATTATCACCATACGTGGATTTTAATACTTTCTATAAACGAAGTCATGTAGCTAATCCAGCACAGCAATGGTTTGTAAATGTGCATATGTAAGCACAGGAATCCTCACATATATTAGAAGGTAATGTTGTGATATAATAAGTATGAAAATAAAAAATTATTAGTTATCTCGATGAAGCTATTGTTCTTATTTTGTGTCCATAACATAGTGCATTTACATCTGACATGTGAAGGAACCAAAAATGATATACACTATGGTAACATCGTTATGGCCAATGTCTAACCAGCCCAACTCAAAGTTATTTCCTAACATGTAATGGAACCAACTAATCATATGATTGTGCAATCAATTTAAATATCTAAACAAGATTTGGTATAGGTGCTATTTGTACACCTTCAAGTTTTTCCTTTCAACTTAAATATGATATAAATGTACATGCATATCTCTATCTAAGTAAATGAAAAAAAAATGCTAAATAGAGTATTCATAAAGTGTCATATTGGGTAAATATTTAACAAATAATTATTTAGTTGCCAAACATTTTAAAGTTGTTAACCAATGATGCCTAACCTCATGTTTACTCATTTTTCCAACTCGTTGCCAAATAACCCATACATACTACTACAACAACTCAATATATACTGAAAAAAAGAAAAGGATCAGCATTCATTTCAAAATTATTTACAGTCATTCTTTCTTGTTCTTATTATTGGATTTGAATGATAATACACATATGATTAGAGAGAACTCTATCGGAAGGAGAGATTAAAAGGTGATTTGACTTTTCTAACATGATAATTGTTTTAGAACATTCCAAAATGACACTTTCAATAGAACGGAAAGAGTGTTGAATCATATTTGAATCATGGATTTGAGATGACCCAATTCAAAATCAACCCAAATTAAAATTGGACGAGAATAGATATAATCCATTTAAGTAAAAACCTGATATCAACCCATCCAAAACTCACCCAACCCGTCCAATTGCCAAGTGTACACCTCTCTTTTAAAAGAAAGAAACAAACAGTGACAACCTCATCTTCAAACCATACAGCAATAAGATTTCTTAAGTGCATGCACAGTGACAACCTTTAATGATATCATACACCAATAAATTTACTGTTGACTTACCCTAACAAAATAAAATGAAATAAAACTTCAATCATTGCAATTAATAGCACAACCAACAAAGGAAAGTAAGTCAATCCCATGAACGGCCTGCAAACAAGCTCTACTAGTGCATGCTCCAAGAATCCAATATTTGCCCCTTATTTCATGTCCAAGAATATGATTTGATTTTCCCCTTTCCCAACCCCCTTACCTCTTTTTCCCACGCTTCCCCTTTCAACAAAATTTTAGAAAGAAATGTTTTTACATATACAGCACAAAGATGGGAGAAAAGGTACTTACAATTCTCTAAATGCATCAACAAAATTGGAGATACTATACACTGGTTATGCTACAAAAGAATGAGAATCATGCAAATGGAAGGGATTTCATAGTCAATGATGTTAGCCAGGTCTGAAATTATGAGCAAAACTTATGCTAGGTATGAACAATTCCGGTGGCTATCTGCAAATTCTCGAACCAGCCGTTTGAGAAATCTTCCCCCTTTCCCATTTAATAACCCATGATTATCCTTTCCTCCATCACGGCATCTACTCTCAAGATATTCTGAAGATGCAGCACCGAGGGCCTTCAACCAAGTTGGCACAAGAGATTCAGACTCTCCCTGCTTCAAGTAATCAGCTGGTAGAGCCAGCACCTGGAAATAACTTGAGCTACTCAGTTAAACCTTCAACAATATAAGAACATGAGCACGTTAATTGACGTCATGATTTTTGTTATATTTGCAGTAAAGAGACATATAGGCAATAGAAGAGCTAACATCTGACATCATTAGACAGCAGAGACATAAAGGTCACTTGAGTTAGCAGCAAGATACATATTATGGCATAACCTCTTTTCTGCATAAATTTTGAGTTCCAAATTGCAAAAGAACCATTCAACCAAACAAAGCAGCTACCTTCCTTGCATGATTTTGCTCTAGAAACCAAAGACCTTTTTATACTCCAATTTCCAGATAATAACAAAAACAACTAACTCATATACCTACCAGTACCAGTCCAACCTCAAGACTTTAACAAATTGGTGGAACCCAACATGCTAGACATGTAGTAATGGGCTTGGGCAAGGCGTGAAGTGGAATTGAATAAGGGACCAACACACACTATAAAATACATGTGCTTTTAACATAGGATGATTTGAAAAGAACTGAATATGCAAGAAAATATGTAAACTTTCTCTATTTGCACACTTATAACGTTAAAGATAACATGTTCAAATAGCTCTAATAGAAGTTAATTCGTGATCACCACTAATGCCAATAGATAAGCAAATGGCCCTGCTGGCACATAGAAAGCATTAATACATACAGATGAATGAACACATTGTATGTATCATGAGGGCCATTATCAAGAAATTTCCATGGAATAGCGACAGAGGGAAGTCCAATAGGTAACTTTGAACCTAGAGAGAGAGAGAGAGACTGACTGCAGAATGTAGCCATCCATGTAAAGACTCCCAACAAAGAACAGCTTTTGATGTCATTCTTTCACTTAAACTGCACACCGCAGCCAGTTGTTGCAAGATTGTTGCAGACTTGTGAACCTGAGAAAAATAACTAGCTGTGAAAGAAATCTAAAGATGAACAATTTTCATAACATATTCCCAATCATTACAACAAGAACTTCAGCAAAGCATTGGGCTGGCATGTTGAAATTTAGGATTCATTTTAAGTATGCAATTCTACATAAAAGGCACATGCCTCCCCTGATGGTGAAAGGGACTAACTCAATATATCATAAACAGCAAGAAAGAAAGAAATCATTTGTGGACAATCTTTAAAGCTCCTCTTGATATGTAAATAGTTATATTTGATATAGTTTTTACAGACCCCGCAGACGAACATCAAACTTATCAATAAAGCTGTAGTAGACATCACATAACATAGATCAGAATTTACTGGAGTTAAGGTTGTTAGGCTGAAGATAGTTCTGAATCAACTTTGCCTTAGCATACATGCAGTTCGGTTTGCCAAATGTTTTCCACCTTAGAATAATGGTATAACTGAATAAATTGCCAGTACTCCCTCAATGCTATATCCTAGTGGCACAGTTTCTTCATGGCTTTGGATCACAATGTTGCTTATGAGGTTGAAAGTAAAATGTCATGGCTACCAAAGTTCCCCTACATAAAAAGGCCAACTTTTCAGTTTCAATCTCTAGATTATAAGATCATTTTGATAAACACAGGACATGCACTGGTCCAGTAATCAGATACAAAGTAAGAATAGACCGAAGATCATATTAACAAGGAGAGATGTACTGTACACGCAATTTGAAAGATAAAAAGAAAGCACAAAATAGCTCCTTGTGAAAGTTAAATTTAGCTAATTACCCTGTCAAAGCGAACATGCATATTACCATTCTCTGTTGGTTACCCCCTACCTATGTAAATGAACAAACAAGGGGCCTTTTTGCACAAGGTAATAAGGAAATTCAACCTTGCTATGAGGACGGGGCATTTTACATTTTACCCAAAAGGAAATGCATAGAGTTCTTGTTCACAAAAGTCAGCTAGCTATATCTCCATGATTATGCATATAAGGGCTTTTCTATAAATAAAGAGATAATGAAAATTTAACAAGTAAAAACATGTTCAATTCCAAGTTTTTCTAACTTTCAAAGTTTACTACGTGCAAGTATGTGTACGTTTCTGATTTCAGTGATACCCACTTCAGGTACTACACCTATCCAGATCAAAAGATGCAGAATGTTTAAGCATCAATACTTCGGCAAAATCTAAGCCAATCAAATTAAAAGGACATGAAAGACATAGTTCATCTGGAAAGATATTCATTGGTCTAGTATTTACCCTTGACAGTGCTGAAATACCCAGCAAAGCATACACCAGATTCGATACAAGCCCCTCACCACTGTGAGATATGACTTGTATTGCCATTGCCTCAACTGATTCTTCAGCAACAGAAGCTTTACATTCCAGCAAAGAAGTCAGGCCAACCTCCAAGAAGCCTGAGACCCCCAGAAAAAGTAATGGAGATAATTTACCTCACAAAAGCACAAACAAGATAACCCAGGATAGTTGAAATTAACATTGAAGTGGGTAGATATGAGACTAATATCTTGAAATCATCCTCACTTACAGGTGACCTGTAACCTAGACATGCTTCCAATCTGAGTTTTTTTTCTTAGACTTAGTGCCCATTTGGGAGTACGGCATTTTTGCTTTAAAAAAAATTACTTTTGCATGCTAAAAGTACTTCTAAAGGGTTTGGCAAACATCATTCCATAGATTCAGGATTACAGCTTATGATGCCAAAACCACTTGTAGCAAGAGCTCAAAATTGGTGCTTTTAGCACTTTTAGCAAAAGCTCAAAAATGGTGCTTTTAGAATAACTTTTGTGTTTTAAAAAATTAAACATAAAACTTGATCATTTAATCATAAATTATGAACTGAAATAAAGCAATAAATACATCTCAAAGACAAAATCACACATTATCCAACACCATAAGCACTTATACCTTGTATGCATCCAAACAATATATTTAAGCACTTAATAAGTGCTTTCATTAAATGCTCCATTACATGTACATTTTAATAAGCCACCGCAACACCAAACAGGCACTTAGCAATATCAAACTAAATTGTCCCAAAATGTTGTAACCAGCCAATTTACAGGTTTAAGGGTTACATACATGCTCTTTAATGAGAAAACATCCATATGGATCTAAAATTGAAATGCCTATGGAGATAAAATGCTGTGTCTATGGTACTTTTTTCCGCTATCAGGCCATGGACAAGATTCCCCTTAAGATATACACAGCTGGTTAAAAATGTGGATGACGTACATTTTATTAGACTCATTATTAAATTTGACTAACACGAAGCTTTGATGTGGAAAGGAAGATTCAGAAACATCAAGTCTCCTGACAGACGAATCATTCATCAATCAGCACTTAAATTTCTCGATAGAATTCTGTACTCAGAAGGAAGAAATTGAGCTTACAGGACATATATGACATTGCTGCCAAGGCTGCACCTCGATGCATGGCTGTACAACATATAGCAGCCTTCTGGAAGGATATTTCAAAAATAGAGCCAGAGGCAGCTATTACTTCCTGAGATATGTAAGAAATTTTTTCAATTTCCAAAATTATAACAATAATAACAACAACAACAACAATAATAATAATTAATAATTAACAACCAAAGGTTGAGAAACTCTTAATCAGCCTCCCCTAAATGTGTGCGCGTGTGTACGTAGAGAGAGGGGGGGGAGAGCGAATGAGAGGGTATAGCACCTTGGAACAGCTTCTGACATATACAGATGCAAAATTAGTATAGGCTTCCACCAAATCAGGCTCCTGGTCACATATGTATGAAGACGTAAGAGCAATTATTGATCTTGTATAGGTAAATCTCTCAAAAGTGCAGATGTAAAGAGGCCCATATTCTTCTCTACTCCCAAACTCCTCAATAATGTTAGAAGCTGAAACAGGATCAATGACGCATGTCAATAATAATAGCACATTTTGGTCATTAAAGGAGACAAAAACGAATGCAGACAGTTGACAAAAGCTGTGACATTCAAGAAAATCACAACAACATGGAGCTGATGGTCCAGCAACACCATTTCAAACTAAGCTTCAGTGTTCACAACAATTGCTAGTAAAGTAACACTTTCATCAACTAGCACTTTGATAACACTCAAAAAATTCAAAATATTTCAATATTTTCACATTGCGAGTACTCTAGAACTGCATTTTCTGTCAGAATGATTAATCAACTGACTTGACAGCATGAGCTCATCTGGGATATAAAAACTTCAGAGAAAAGTTTGCTTGTTGGTTAGCTGATTCAATACTTGTGCTGGTATCTATACATTGCTGAATTGCAGGAAACAAATATTTAAGAAATTGTATTTACCCACAGTTTAGGGAAATATAAGAGATGAACTAAGAGCAGACATACTTTTACAACTGCAAATTGGTGGAAGAAAAAGACTGAGCGGCGTCCTTTTCAAACGGTGTCAATAATGTGAATTGCTATAACCTACTTCATCTTAGACAGTTTACCTGTTCTGATGTAGCACTCATGACTTGGGAATGATGTGAAATTTGTTGACAAACAATTTAGAACTTTGGGCACTAGTGTCACAAAGTGATGAGCTGCGGACACATGGAACAAATTGAATGAAGCATAAGGGTCAGATCATTTTCAGTTTTATTAATATATTCAGTAATAATATATATAAAACAAGAAAAGAACAGACATGGCAACTCCAAAATTCACTGTTTGGTACAACTTGAATGCAAATTACGCAACTTGAAGCAAAGGGGAAGATGACAGCTAGTATTAGGGATGCATTTGAAAGCTGCAACTAACCCAAACCTCAGTATCTGAAAATCTCTACGCATGGAGATCCTTTTTTCACTTCAGCAGGTATACAGCATAATGACAAAACTTAAGTAGTTCATTGTGCCCTATTCTCACCTTTCTAGTTTTCCCCTTTTTTCCTCTAAATCCTAGCAAAAGCAGTAGAATTTTTCCCAGGCAACCAAAAATTACAGACATCACATGCTGAATAGCTGGTTGTTTTCCTACATATAGTAAACACTGGTTTAAAATTGATCAGAGTAAGGCAGACTGCCAAACAATCTGAATTGTGTCTAATGGCTTCAGCAGGTATACCAAACTTTACTGCCATAGATTGTTTCCAAGTATTATTATCTTCACTAATACTACTAATTATGGGCTATGATTAAGGCCTCTGAAGTCTGCAGCTTGACAATGAAGTTTGTGCTGTTTCCATTTGCCCAAGACAGGTGGTTAATATAAAACCAAATATAGTGCTTAATCCTTTGAATTAAGTGTTGCAGTCAGACAATGAATTGGCAGGAATACGTATTCCAATATAGTGATTTGATAGCTCAGCTAGTGATGCATAGGTTGCTTCTTCCCACCATCCAACTGGCTAGACCTTAAGCAATAGGTTGGACATCACAACTTTTGCTTACCAGCACAAGACTCAATAATAGGATTAGATGTTAAGAAAAAGTTAAAATTCTTCATTTCAAGCAACCAGCTAAAAGATCTAGTATCTCTTTCAGCAGCAAGTTGTTGTGTAACAAGATCACTGTCTGTTCTTAAAATCTTTAAATACCACTGAGCCAATCTCTGCCAGCGTGAACAAAATAACAACTTTCAGTTTCTAATGAGCCAAAAGATAGGAAAGTTCAACCACCTATTAGTCACTTCTTAAGTCAAAGAATGAAGGCTTAGCGTGAAGGTCATAAAACAAATGCTGAAGAATGATGGGCAGCCCAACTAAGAAAGTAAAGGAAATGAGAGGGAGACGAAGCAAGCAAGAGGTAGAGTGTGTGAAACTCTTTTGGAAGCCTAAACACTCTACAAATCTTTGTTATTGTTGTGCTTTTGTTATTAATTATACCTTTTTTGTCCCAAGCATCATTAAAAAAAAGGTCATTATTTCTTTTTTTTTAAGATGTTCTTCATATTAATTCTCTGCATTGCATGCAACCCATTCATCTCGAGTTGGGATCCTAGGGCAGCCTCCACTTGACAGATTACTCTGGATCGGAGATGCAATTGATTTAATCCACTTGCAACGAGTATGTATGAGGTGTCACCAACATCCAGAAAATTAAAAAAAACAATACCTGATGACTTAATTGCTTGAGACAGTGCCCTGCAAGCTGCAGCAGATAAACTTGAATTCTCAATGTGTTCTGATTGAAAGACGTTCTCAAGCACTGGCCACAACACCCCCAGTAGCACAAGAATAGAATTGTCTACAGATGGACCATTGGATACATGCGTTGCTAGATGATTGAATACAATTCCCATTCTGAAACCAAAAAGATCTAGTGCAATTTAGGTTACAGCATACTGATTAAAAGATATGCTAGATCATATTAATTCACTTTGGTTATGTGAAATTATCCTCTAATGTGTTGATTTAGTTATCAGACGAAAGGATACACATTACGAGAATCACAATAATTTGCAGGGCAGAAAAGTGGTAATTACCATATACTAGAGAGCCCAACAGAAAGAACACATTAAACTGGAACCCATAATTTCCTCAAATTATGAAGCTCATTACGACTTAGGAGAGGCCGGAATGGTACATTACTCCAATAAATACAGTTTCCACAAGAAAACTATTTCTCCAGTAACAGTACATTAAATGGAAGGAAACACAGTAAGCTCATTTTCAACGCCAAGATTGTTCGCAGATTATGTCATTTATTACATTGACTTTGTTTGTTAAACATATTGTTGGGACAGCATAAATTCATTATCAAGTAGAAATTATACAGCAAATCAGAAATAAAGAGTTTGGTTTTCCCAAACTCAAACAAGTGAAAAGGAAAAGAAGAATAGTCAAAAAGCTTAAAGGTAAGCTTCAAATTATTTATTAAAAAAAAAAAAAGGAATACTCCACTACTTTCCAAGGTAAAAATGCAGCGAACACTACATACTAAGGAACGAGCAATAAATCTTAAGTAGAAAGATCAAACCTATATAGTCCTCTTCTAGCAGAGTAGATAAGCCGAGTATATATAGCTGGATCTTGCCTCAAAGAATGCTTATGTTCTTCACTGATCTGAAGCAAAGATAAAGAAATTGAAGGGGGATATCAATTTAAGCGACGGTTAAAAAAGAAGCAAAGATGTTGCTTCTCCAATAAACTCAAAGCTGGCTCAAGTAAATACACCACCAATGCAAGTTCGAGTGGCAACAGAAACAACAATAATGGTCTTAGTACAGTTCCTGATTCTGCACAAAAGCCTTTCCCAAAATGCCATAAGTTGTTCAAATAAGGCATGAGAAATGGCGAGCCTGATAACTAAAGACCTCGACTATTAGACCTTAAAAAGGCAGCTCTAAAGCTGGACGATTAGGTCAATGATAAGCTCTCATCCCTGGTAAGGTTGGATGCTCATGAGTAATGACACAGAAAGGCTATAGTTGTACCACTAAAAAGGTGTATTGCATGCTGTCATCTTTTCTGATCTCCAGATAATCAAATGAACTTAGATTCAGTGATTTCATTATTCTCCAGGTTTGAGCCATTCAGTCCAGTATATTATGCCTTAGCTAGAACTTAATCACTGTCCTCTGCAACTCTGTATAACTACATAAAGGACCTTATTTACAAGCTATATAATCTGAGTCTCTTAAATCTTAATGGATAAGCAAGCAATTTTGATGATTCTCTCAACATTCTTAAAGAATAACATGCAATATCTGAAGCATCTGTCCAACTTATGACAACCTGATGCCTGCCATTTCATCAATTTTGTGTATAAGTCAACTTAGGACAACCATTTCCAGTTGAATGATTGAAAAATTATAAGCCGGAAATACTTTAAAAAAAAAAAGAAGGAAGACTTGAGTAGTATAACAAATGGGTTCATTTAGCAGATTCCAGTTTCAAGATGGTCTTGAATTTCAGAGTTACATTAGTGTCAACTCTAAAGATGCTTTATGCTAGGGATAAAAGAGTCATGTTACAGAATGACCCAAGAAATAAGATTTTCCAAAATTTTATTGTGTAACCAGATGTAAGCAGAGCTATAGCTGTCCATATGGTGTCAAAAGCTTTGGTAACAAGTATTCTTGGAGATTAAGCACCCTTCTGGGTCTCAAACTCGTTATCATAAATATGATGTCTTAAGCTCATTTTAAGCAGCTTCAGTGACAAACCCCACTTTACTTAACAACGAGATCTAGTAACCATTAGCTCTGTTTTCTTCTTTAGCTCAAGTCTAAGCGCCATTCAAAGCCAACCAACCAGAATTTTGAAGACTCATATCACTAGCCTTAAGCCGAACACCATTGGCCCATTAAATATTTTTTCACCAAACCTTGAAGGGGTAAAAGAACCCTGCATAAGTAACTATTTTTTGGTGCTCCAAATCAAAGATCTGCATCAAACATAGCCTTTCTCACTTCTATACACTTGAAAGTATAGCCTATCATGCTAAAAGAATTGAAGTTGAGGTTCAATCTTTAATGCCATCACTTAATCTATGTACTGGCATATCAAGGTACTGGCATTGCATGGGTCGCATAAGTCATAATTAAGTCACTTAGCGAAGTTAAAGGCAGAGTACAGAAGCCTGATCAAATCATCTAGTTGAATTAGGCCCTCCTTTTTTTTGGTGAAGTGAAGAAGTTTTGTGGCACAAGCATAGATATGCCCTCGCTATGGAACAAGTTTTAATGAGCAAATCAAATATGCTGAGGTCAACCACCATTAATACAGGTCGCTTGGTCATTTGGTCAAAACTCTCACCCTATAACTCACAGAACCTGATACAACGGCCAAAAGAAGTTAAAAAAATAAAAATGAAAATAAACTAATTCAGTTTCAAGAAACCATGCATGCCAAGCACATGCAAAATGTAACGAATCGCAAGCAAGAGGATGTTTCACCTCATATCGGACATGTTATATGTTCTATGGAAGCATAGTTTATCTGAAGTGCTTGAGGAAACTCCTATCAGTTAAGCCTATTAGAGACAAAAAACGCAAAACCAGAGGATGCAAAAACGAACAACACCAAAAGGAGAGATGTTAAATGCTTATTCACAAGACAAAATGTAGATTAGGAACCCTCTGCTTTAAATATTGTAGTTTACCAAATGAGAGCATGTTCTTACTTAAACATTTTTCATATCAAATTCATCTGTTAAAGCAGTTTGTACATGTTTAAAATTCCATGATTACAAAAGTGAAAATGACAAAGGAAATAGCAAGAACATATCGAAGATAATAAGGCTTTACAATGGATCATGAGATAAGTGAGTGTTAACCATCAGAGCTAGACAATTTTGGCACCACCAACCACCATCATAAGACAGAGGATAGAGATCAGGAGATCAGACACTCACAAGCTTTCCAATAGCTTCATAGCTTGGAGAAAGTAATCTAACTAACAAATTATTCTTCAGCTCCTTGTTAGGAACAGAACCAACAACAAAAGTGATTGCACCAACTACTTCTTCCTCGTCCTCAAGAGAAAAGTGCCTCTCTTCCAATTTCTGTAATCAGAAGATTATTAGATATATCAGGAAAAATAGAAAATTTGAAGGAATTGGAAGGATAACGTTTCAAGTGCTAATTTGATAATTTCAACACAAAGGATTACGGTAAATGCTACTACTTTCATATGTTCCACCTAAGAAACTCAACAAAAAACAAAGAAGGTACTCTTGAAGAAAGCTTTATATTTACTAAATATCCCACTAATAAAACTTCGAACTATAACTTCAGAGTTGAAAAGAAATTTCCAAAAGGTAATCTTGCATGGATCATATTAGGTCATCTGAGGGGAGCAAATAAATAGCATAAAGTATCATAAAGTGTAAATGAGTTACTAAGAAAATGTCTCATTATAGAACAAAATGTCTTGGTACATAACTACATTTAGTTATTAATTACTTGCCACAAAATATCCATTTGTGAGTTGATAGTAGAGTTGGAATGCTATTAAAGAGCCTTAAAATGAAGCATCAGGTTCATGCATATAGCATGACACACCTCTCCAATCCAGATTAAGATTTCCAAGTTTGAAGGTTCATGCATGATTGCACAAGCATCTTCACAGAACTTGCGCAGGGCACATGAAGAAGCGTTTGAACAGAAAGGTTTTGAAATCCCTGTGGCAAGAAAAAGCCTGAAAATAGCACATTAGTCTCAGAACAGAACTGATAAGAACCGATCTAGTAAAAGAAAAGCAAAAGTCACAACAAAATGCTACTGCACTACTACAATATAATGGTAGAAATATGTACATTCCATACGCTCTTCTGTCCATACTCCTAATAGTTGTTAGGTGTTATAAGCTTTTATGCATACGATATGATCTCTAATAATAAAGTTAGTAAATTGCCTAAAATACCCCTCTTAATCTAGGGTAACCTTCATTAACTGATGCAGCATTTTCCAGGGAGCAGTTTTCAACTGTTTGAAGCTTCATTTCCCTCCACTGAAGGCCCAGTTTCCCTTCTGACCATGCTTTTTGGGGCTTCATTATAAAGCGTACCACAGATGCTCCATAAAAAATTTCTGTGTCTTGGTAGGCCATATTGGTGAAAGCACAAAAATTGCTAAAATGGGTAATTGGGCTGGGATCAGCATATGCACATGCCCAAGTAACTATAAGCACATTTAGGTTTGAGTCAATTCCCACTCAATTCCTCCGATTTGTTACATTATATTTCATATATGTTACAGTGCTCAGTAATAACATGATTAGTATTAGGGTTAATTTCAGAAACCTCCCCCGAGGTTCATCCTAATATCACATGGCACCCTCAAAGTTTCAAAAATCTCACTTACCTCCCCTATCAATATGATGCGACTAGAAGTCCCAATCAGAGACATTGAAACGACAAAGTTACCCCCAATGTCTTCCATCTTTTTTAAGTAGCAAAAGGTTGGAAGATATTAAAAAAAATACGAGCTAAAGTATCTAAAAACAAATAACAAGAATGCCATCTAAAATATTTTTCTCCCTCTTTGTTGCAAAAATCTTTGCTTTTAATGTTCGTCTTTGCCACAAACGATTCAAAAATCTGTGCTTTTAATGTTCGTCATTGCCACAACTGATCTCCTAAAATTTTCGTTCTAATTTCCCTCTTTGCAGAACTTTTGTGTTTCATTGCTACAAAATCTTTGCTCTTAATTTCCTCCTTGTTGCGACCAATCTCCTGAAACTTTTACCTTTTTATAATGTTTAATTTCGTCCTTGTTCCTACTTATTGCACTTACACCTTCTCATATTCTAAGTTTAATATTCCACCTTATTTGTCTTTTTTTCATATTTCAAAATTCACAAATAAAATTGCACAAGGATAACAGTGGAAGGATAACATAATCTCTCTCCTCCAATGCATTGTTTAATATTACTTTTATATGTAAGGGGTGACAATGTTACACAAATTATCATTCAAGGGGAGCTATATGAGATTTCTGAAACTTCAAGGGTGCTAGGTGATATTATGATAAACCTCAGGGGAGATTTCTGATATTAACCCTTAATATTACTCTTACTTGCGAGTTATCTGATAATCATCATTCCCTAACATATTTGTTAGCTTCTTGCTTTTACTCCTAATTCATTTGATATCCCTTATAAGTTGAAAGAAATAAAATAACCCTTACAGTAATGGCCTGCCATTAGTCAGGAAAGCAGATATCCACTTTGAATAGGAACTAATAATGTCTGCAACCGATTTATATACCTGGTAAGGATAAGCAATGGGAGGCAAAAATAGTTAGATTAGTTAACCAAATGCTGAAAAGGAACAAATGTGCTCCGACTAGAACTGGTGCAAAGATATGTCTCTATTATATATCCTTTTTGCCAAATGAAGCATAAAAAGCAAAGTACCATGGAAGAGGAAGTTAAAAAAGCATATACTGTACCATAAGCATTAAGCCCTTGAGGTCATCAGACGTTCTATTGGACAAAATTGTCACCAATTCGATTAAAACAGAGAAATCCAAGTTTGCACCTTCTTTAAGAACTACTTCAGCTACCTACAAATAAAGAACAGAAATTATAACCAATAAAAACAAGAAACTAAAAGAGCAATTGCACACAAAATTATCAGATAGCAAAACTGTTAGTAAAATGTGCAGGTATAGATAATCCGAAGATTAAAACAGTATTATGAGACACTAACTTTCAACTTCTGAACAAAAAAAAAAGATTGTTTCTACAATACCCTGGTATGACTTGACATTGAAGCCAGGAACTATAAGAAACAAGTTATTGGACAGCTCAATATGTTAAAAAAGAGGATCAGATACTGACGATATTTAGACCACATAGCTCTCTGAGTGCCATCCAAGAGTAAATAATTGCTTATGTACTATCTTTTCAAAATACTGATGTGGTTCTGGGTCCAATGACTTCAAATAAACTACCAGTAGGGAACTAAACAATAATCAAAATGTCAAGATATTTGCATTCTTTGGACCAGGGAAAAAAGTGAGCCTTGAAAAGGTACCATGCACACACCTAGCATATTCTTCAGGTGCAGCCTTGCAGATCAACAAATAATTCAAGTAGGACCATCCCACAAGCACCAAAAAAAACTATGAAAATGAGGACATGATCCTAAGAAACTTAAAAGCATAACATTAAAAACTAAAAAAAAATCCTCTAACTGTTGTCTGAATGGATTAAGACCATGTAGGGACAAAGCAGATTGAGTAATGCTATCCAGCAAATATCTCCTTAAAAGCACAAGGAAACCTCTTTCGTGCAGTTCTGCCATTTGGGCTGATGAGTGCATTTAATATCAAATGTCAAAGCCAGTTCCATAAGTAGAAAATCTAGAGGCTGTTTGTCTAATCCCTCATCGCTCAATCATGGACGAAAATAACTTAAGTTCTTCACAGCTTTTCTCCAATTCACCTGCAGAGATGGCATTTGCTTCCCATTCCTCATGATTATAGAAGTACATAGCCTACAGCTACCGATCTCAGGAGAATACTTGCACCAAACTTGAGCTTCTCATGATACGTTTTCCACCAACATATAAATGAAAAAAAATGCAACCAACCACCCAACACACCTACAGCAAAGTGTACATGCAACTGGTCCTCTGAACCAGTGTGAATAGAGACTATAAACTAAACAGAAGCAAAGATTCACATAATCTATACACCTACAGAACAATGCAAGTACTGCATTCATTCCTGTAATTAAAGAGAGAAACTCTTGATACAGCATACGAGAACTGGCCTCTCTATAAAATCAACGGCGATCATAAACCAGGGTTTTGGCATTATCAAGTCATTTTTAACATGTTACTGGCAGAAAAGTCAAACCTAATGATGCAGATGGGAAGAAATGAGAATATGAACTGTTTAAGCGAAGTACCACGGCAGCAGTTTCCTTTCTAGCCAACAAGTGGCTACTCATTTTAGCCTTAATGTGTATTAATTTCTTTCCTACTTGATTAAGGATTTCAAAGTTTGTTTTAACTGCTAGGAATATAAACATTTCATTGGATTATGATACAAGAACTGGAATTACGGGATTTTGACCACTAATGACATTGTCATCCAAGCTCAATGTTTAACAAAAACAAAAATTGCCACCTTCCACCATGAATTCTTAATATTCTATTGGGTTGCAAAATTAGCCATCAATCAAGTTTTCCTGCTAGTTGTTCCCAGAAAAACCACAGTTTTGGCATCTTCTTCTTGTGCATCCCTAGAGCCAAAGACAATCCACAAAATGGAAGCAAGAAGAAATCAAACATCCACTTGAGTGATTGGGTTGTGAAACATAGAAATCAGAGATTTAAGGTAGCACCTGTGTTTAGACATAGTGGAATGTTGTGATAAAGAAGAAATCTAGAGCAGTAGATTTGACAGGAAAAAAGTAGTGCAACGGATAGGATTCCTTATCAAGTTATGAGGTTTGTCGAGGTTGATATAGGGGACACAATATGACAATTTGGAATTGTGTACCTATACATGATGTTTATGAGACATAGTTAACATAAAATCCACTCGTGCATTTTTAAAATCACCAAAAACAAAAGAAATATTCTCCAACTGTTTGATAAAAATATTCTGGGATAGCCCAGATCATTGCTTTAGATCAAGTGCAGGCTCGTGTGTTGCAGAAAATACAATCCATACACAGTGCTTGATAGAAGTCCTAACAGCAACCATAGGAGGCATGTAGCTCATTTTATGGCATTAGAGCTGGATTAGGAAGAAAGTTCCTTCAATCAGAATGGATTAGAGCCATATCCCTTGTCTGCTTGGTGGATGTTAAGGTTAGAAAATCAAATTTTTCCCCTTTTTGCTTTTTTCTTCTTTATTCTTCCTCTTCTTTGTCTTCTTCCTCCTGCACTACCACTGCAATCAGAGCTTCAAACTGTTGTTGCCTACAAGCCTAGTACAGTCTCGGGACAAGCTGGTGACACCACCGTCAATCTTGTTTTATCATACTATGTGCCTCTAATCTCCATTCTCCATATAGAGTATAATCCCAACATCCAAACTATCAACTCCCAACTGTTCAGCTCCAAATAGTCACCACACCAATGTCATCCCCACCAAAATCAAAACCTTTTAAACCAAGACATATCTCGCAGTCACACAGACATAAAATCCACTTAAATCGACCAAAATTACACCAAGATAAACCCAAAAAAATCTAAAATTCTCAAACAAAGACTAGCTACAATTCTATAATTTCACAATATAAACAGAAATTAAGTGCATGATGACTTGTAGACATCGTATATTCTCTTGGATAGGAAGGTTAAGAATCCAAACCCTTAGGATCACGAACCAACACCACACTATGTCACAACACCTCCAGCATGGTGTCACATACAAGTATTGTAGGTGCCATTTCACTGAATTTCTAAAATTAGAACACAGCCACACAGCCCAGGACTCTGACACACCTTCAAGGGTGCTTCTTACATGCTCATTTTGCTTTTTGTGTAAGTTCTTTTACTATATGAGTGAAAAAATCAAGGTAAAGGAGGACAGTGGTGAAAATCTTTAATTGTGCATCTCGATTCCAGTAGGTATATGCCAGAAAGATATTGTCACTTTAATACCCATCAATGACTGCAATTTCATCCAACAGAAGAGGCCCTTAAATGTCCTGGTTTCAATTAAGCACTGAAAACAATTTAAAATGCTCTCCATTTTCTACATGCACATGCTTATAAGCAATATACCATAATACCTTCCCCGTGAAGTTTTTCTTGAGATTTTTCAAATGCATAGACTACTAGACTTTCCATCACATTTATATTCCCGCAAACCTCACCTGTTGAAATTGTCGATGTCATATCAAGATTCCCATTACAACTACTATGGCATCAGCAGATTGTTGCAATTAAAAGATATTGGTCAGTTTTAGAAAAACACCCAGAACTCTGGTCCAATTAAATAACTACAAGTTCAAAATCTTCAAGGGAGGTTTCTGGAATTATAAAGAATCTGAGGGTGCCTAGCCAATGAGTACCTGAGCAACTATGTAGAAATGGTAAAAGTAAACAAGGACCATAGAAAGCAAGAAAAGGAATAATAGAAAAACAAATCAAACTTAACACTTTACATACCACATTGAGAGCAAACAATTTGGCTTCCACCTCCTTCCAAGGTACCTGCACATTGAAAGACACCCATCCCCAAGAAAGATCTGACATAGAAAAGGAAATATTGATATGAATTTAAGAATACAATTAGAAAGCAATTTTCTAACTAGAACGAGAAAATGAAGCATTTTCATCCTTTTTCAGGGTAAGAATCATGCTCAAAGCTCTTAGACCTTACCTCACATGGAAGAGCTACAATGACTGACACTATCCTAAATCAATTAGGAAAATAAGAATTCAACAAATTGAATACTAATGCTAAGACACACTACATAAGGGATGATGATTAGGCGCCATTGCTATGTCAGGAGTCAGCACTATTTTTATGAAGTTCCGCCCAGGAAACAGTGTAACGCGAGAACAGGGAGCAACGGGGGAAAGCTTTTCCAACAAACTGTATTTATAAGGAACATATGATAAATGCCAAGTAGAATATCCCATGATCGAAAATTCCTCAATTAAATGCAGTATGTGACAAATGGCAAGTAGAATATGCCATGATAGAAAATTCCTCAATTAGATGCAGTAATTATGTTGTGAAAGAACCTCTATACACCAAGGCGGAAACCAGAATGATTGTTGCTAATTTGTTTTACCTTCACTTTCTCCTAACTTTCCACTTGCTACTGCAGCACTATAAACAAGAAGGCAAAAAGTCTACACATTTCCTAGAAGTCTGAAGCCAGTGCATTCCACACATGGGAAAGCTCACTATAAGTTAGGATTAAAGCTTTGGAACTGGCCACAGCCAAATTTTCCAATTTAAGAGAGTGCTGGAAAGGCACAGTGGACACCTAGATTCAAATTTTGGTATAGAGAATCTATCCTAGCACACATGCTAGAGTTCCCAACACCACAGCACAAACATGATTTTCCAAGTTAAGTATTAGCTACGATCTCATATTGTACTTGAAAACTCAGTTGCGTAACCAACAAAAATATGGGTTTCCATCTGGTTTAAAAGCAAAAGCACTCCTAACTTAGATAAATAACGCCATCAGTTAAAACACCAACTATAGTGCCAATTAACATGTATACTCCGAAATATCAAATAACAGGTACCTTTTGAGCAAATGCAGCAGAGCCTAGAAGCTGACAGATATCAACCAAAAGTTCCACCAAATTCATCCGAAATTGAACAAGGCCATCAGGCAGATCAATAGTTTCTCCATCATCATTAAACATAGAATCGTTCACCTGTCCAAAAGACTACAAATTAATCATAATCCAGACAAAAAAATGAGGAAAAGGAAAGAATCTTGCAATACATGTATCTGAAAACAAAATTATTCCCACAGACACAATATTTTCTCAAAATGGCAATATGACCAAAAATGAACTGACATATGGACTCTTTCTCCATTGCTCGCCTATTTTCCAATTTGCAGGGAAGTGTACAAAGGATGAAAAGGTCACAATCTTTGCAACATAGCAAAGATTCTGTCCTCACTAATACGATAAACCTTCCATCATCTAACAACTTAGCCAACGATGAACAGGCCTCTAGACTTGCTTTTAAAAGCATTCACAGTAACCATGAATCTCGTAAGCAACTACCACCCCTGGAAAAAGATAAACTACTTTTACCCACTAAGGTCATTCTCCAGCTCAGGTGTAATCAGGTACTAATATATTATTCCAACTTATTCTTCAACTTTGAATGATCTAAGCATGTTTGTACAATGTTCTCTTCAATATATTCCATCACAGCACATACCTTAAGCATGTTTGCATAAACCAATAGAACTAAGACTTGCACAAAAATGGACAAACCAAATATCTGCATCCAACGAAAGTGGAAACAAATGAAGCAAACCTGTGCCCGCAAGAGAAGAGCATCAAGTAAAGCTGAGTAAGCAGGGAGAAATACTTCTTGAATATTCTTTCTATCTCCTCCACCACTCAAATCATGCCCAAGAATGCAACCTGCAAGACTTGACCTGACATGTAAAGAGAACAAAAGGCTGAATTTGCATGAGATATAATTAATTCATAAAGTAAACTGTGAACCCAGCTTTAGCCACATCAGAGCGCTCAGGAACAAACAAAACTAGGTTACTCGTATCAGGGAACTAACACTGTGGGAAAAGGCAATGATAAGCAAGATAGGAAAACAAAGAACTATTTCTACCAGAACTGCAAGGTTGAGTCAGCAATTTCCCAATCTTCACCTGGAAAAGCAGCACAACTGCATGCATAGATAAGAAATCAGAACATTATAAGTTAATATCAAACAAGGGACATTTTGCAGTGCAATTACGTAAGTATGCACTTTGCATGCCACAAGGGAGATGTACAGTACCCTAAATCTACTGAAGTAGGCTCATATGGTCAAACATCTTCAACATTCATACTCCAATGATGTAATTGTTTACCAAACTAGTTGTTTCATCTTTAATTACTAAGACAGTTCTGATTTCCAAAAAAGTTACGATGTTGATGAGTAGGAGAAAGGCAGAGAGCTTAAGTTAGCATTTTAAGGCAAATGCATCAAATTATGACCCACACACCTATGGCTATGATACACGTTATCTTCTTAAGCACATCATTGTCAAATGTTCAAGATCTAACCTCAATAGAGCATCCATGAGTATTAGTGCCTCAGGACTTGCTTTCAAAATCAAAGATGGTGCCTAGGATACATCATAATCAGAAAAAACCAGTTTAGGCCACATCAGATGAGCATTAGTACCACTCTATGATTTTATGAAATCTAAATTGGAATCAAGATTCTATAAGAAGCAAGCCATGAAGAAGGAAAACTCCTATTGAATAGAGAACTTTGAACACTCACTGTCTGACCAATTTCTGACATCAAGCAAGCAATACCAGCAATCACTTTCTCATCTCCCGTATTAAGAGCTGGAAGAAGAAGCACTTCCTTTAGAAATCCAATTCTGCTTAACAAAGCTTGTGGCAAACCCTATGCAATAAAGGACGAGGAATTAGGATATAATAGAGAAGTTCTGATTCAGGAAACTTGATTGTTTATACTCCCCAGAAAAGCTCCTAAATAAGCATGAAGAATAACTGCAGTGGAATCAAAACAGTATAGCTAAAGAACTGCAAGAACAACTCTCCCTTGTTTTGTCAGTAAGGTTGCTGCTAGGTTCCCCAGTATAATAATCTCCTATGGCAAAATAAACTGATAATATTTCGTGCACATGATCATACAGAAGCAAGTTTATACCTCATTTCGACTCATAAGTTCAACAAGAACTTCAATAGCCAGATCAAATGAAGAGAAGACCTACAGAATAAAACAACAATATCAATATGTCATCACTTTGGGACCCGAGAAATCTCCTATAACATGTCAAAAAATACAAAACATTACTTGCAAAGCATTAAAAATAAAATTAAGAATTGGATGCGATGGCAATGAGGCAGCTGGAATCTCCGAGAAGCAGCCAGCTCGAACCTACATGCAGAGATAATTAAACAAAGAAAGTCAATAACAAGAAAGGAGAGACATCAATACCAACCAATTATGGCATATATTTGATGTAAAATTCCATTCAAGGTTCAAAAGAAATCACGGCAAATTCATCTGTCCAGTGGTCCAACTGAATCATTTTTTCGTATCAATTATATCCTGTGCCAATTGATAATTATAGGCTAGCGTAATTTGGAGGCAAAGATCCTACTTAATTTACATCAATAGGCAATAGAAACGTTCTAAGTCTATTGAACCTACTACTCAAAAGGGTATTCCTAGATTTTCAGAACGATCATTTGAAACTGTACGTCCTTATCGCACTCTAAAAGAATGGAATCCATTAATCCAAGATTTATTAATCACAGGGAAAAATATTGTTGAGAATTTTCAGTATGTCAGTGCATGAAAAATGTATAAATCATAGCACAAAAATTATATTTAGAGTTTCTAAGACAAGTCAACCACAAATCACATAAAAACTAGAGGGTAGACGGTCTGAAACTTTAGTACTTCCATCTTTCAATCATGCCTTGTCCTCTTAGTTATGGCTCTTCCCATCATTAATTTACGCATTTCCTATATGAAGAAGAAATAACATATTTGTCAACTTGCTTCTTTTCCCAATCCTCTTCCTTGTTGAAAACTGTCTTACCCAACTTAACAAGCAACGCAATATCTTTTTATTGGTGTCAGCAAGTTGAACGCCACCTCCAAACCTCTTCTCAGATTGCTGCAGAAGGAACTCAATGACCATTGGAGTATGCAAGAGAAGCTGTCCTTAACAGAAAAAAGATATAGTTGAGAAGAAAATATGAAGTATGTATTCATCCTTTGCTGGTAAAAATAAAAGAAACTATGTAAAATAAACTAGTTCGACACCTGTTGTTCATATTCATATCGAATAGTCAAAGTTTTGCAGTTATTGGTGATGTGATCCTCAAAGACTTCCGGTAAGACCGTAAGCATCTCTAGGACGGCAATATGGCCACCTTCGTGACTTTGCAGATTCTGCACACTGTAGAAAAGCTTCTCAATGGGTCTCCCATGCTCTACGGCGTGAAGTAGAAGTGTGGAGAGAGCAAGGCAGATTTGTGTCAATAGCTGCTGTGGGAATAGAACAAGCATGTGACTCAATTTCAGTCTACTAGTATTAGTCGATCACAGAGCAAAGTAGGCAGTTGGATCACCTTTGAAGGGCCAGCACTAAATCTTCGAGCAGCCAACAGAAGAGCATTCAGCAAAGCATCTTTTGCTTCGGACTGTAGATAATATCCTTCACTTTGGATCTACAAAGCAGTGAACAACCAGAATCATAATTAAGAAGAGATACTGCACCCAAACACAACCGGCATAATAACAAACGCGTATAACCACGTTGAGTTGCCAATATATAAGTTAAACCGGTTATGAAATGAATGCAGAAAGATTCCCAACGTCGGCCAGCAAGCCTCGTGGCGTAACATATGCTTCACTAGTGTCGGCCCAAACATGACTGGAATCAACAAAACTTGTATCGTTATCCTCAAATTTGATTCTATAAACCAAACTTAGAAGATTAAGGGAGCCAAAATGCGCCCATATTCTGGTTAATGTTTTTTTTCCCTTTTGTACATAGTTCTGGTTACTGATTCAGCTGTTCCGAAATGAGGATAGTACATTCACAGAGGCAGCAGAGCGTAGCGATTCTATATAAGATCGGTGTAAAACAGCCTACAGACCTTTCGCTTGAGAATCTGAGCTGCGAAAAACTCCACTTCATAATCCGAATCAAATTGCTGATGGTGGTCGGAGGTGAGAATGGAAGTAGCGACTTCCCAAGCGGCGTCGCTCTGCTGGAATTGAACAAGCCATTGATTCGCGGCCACGCGGTTACATGACTGGGTGTCGTGATTTAGGAGGTGAACGGCCTGAGCGACCTTGATTTGAAGCTCCATCCGTCCTCCTCCTCCTCCTCCTCTCCAGTCTCCAACACTCTAAAGAGCAAAGGGCTATAGTCAATCATCAATAGGAAAGGCAAAAAATGAGAGGACGACGCCTGTAAGTTTAGACAGCACCATGTCCTCCTCCTGCTTCAGAGTGAGTCTGTATGTGTTTTCGTAAATCGTTTAGCTATTTATTACCTACACCAGGGGCCTCAAAGGGCGTTGAAGAAATACTACCAATCCTGCTACCCAAAGGGGTATTTTGTCCCCTTTCCTTAACCCTTCTGCAACTAGTAATATCCTAGAAGAGTTGCAGGAATCATGAGTAAAATGTAAAGGGATGATTTCAAAAGCCTCCCCTAAGGTTTCTCATAATATCATTGAGTTCTCTTGAGACTTTTAAAATTTCACTGACCTCCCCTGCCAACTTGACAAAACTAAATATTCTTATCAAATGTCATATATTGACAATATTATCCTTACTCTTAATAACTATTTAACCAAAAAGTCAAAACAAAATAAAATTTTTAAACCAAAAAATATTAATACAAAAACAAATTGTTATCTAATAATGGTCTATATATCTTTATATCAAGATCATGATAGTACAACAAAGGATGTGGATAAATTAAATCTAGTTAAAATCAACCATTTAGGAGGAATTTGGTGAGTAATTAATACCTTGAAAACTTTCGTAGACAGCTATACAAAAGTAAATAAATTATTTTTAAAAAAAGTCAAGAAATTTTGTTAGGAAATAGATTTTAATACATGATGTAGTTTAAGTTGTATTAAAATAATAATCTCTTCATATGTGTGAATTCTTCAAGGTGTAAGTTTTGATTTGTTTCACGACAACTAAACTAAAAAATTTAAATCAAGAAATTTACACCTTATAAAAAATTAACCTTGTTTTATTTTTATAGTTGTTGTAAACTTTATAAGTAGGATAATATAAGGGTAGTACTGGAATGAAAGTTTTATCTTTCTTGCATTTCCTCCAAATGGACTAAAATGTTACAGTAAATGTCAATTTAAGGGAGGTAAGTGAGGTTTTAAAAATTTTAAAAGAATTGAGTGATATTATGAGAAATGTCGGAGAAGGTTTCTGAAATTATCCCAAAAGTAAAACCCCTAATAGCCATCATTACTACTACTTCGCTGACCAAAAAATTAAAACCTTGGCTATACCCATAAGCGCTGACTGTTGATAGGGCCAGACCAACCCAAGTTTGTCTAATCAACCTTGTATATTATTGGATTGGGCAGAGTTTGAGCTTCAAATTTGAGATTTGATTAAATTATGAGCTAAATTTGGATTTAATGAGGCTTATTCCGATATAATTAAGTATATAAGTATATATTTTTTATTAATAATGATGCATATTTTTAATAATTATATTTATTATTGCATACATCCGTATAATTTATATATAATGGTAAAATAAAATAAATACTATATGCATACTCTAATATCTTTATGAGTTGAGTATGAGTCGAGTGTGTTTGATAAATTTGAAATTTGAAATCTAAATTCATTAAGTTTGAATTTTTAAGTACTACATTTGATATATTTGAGCATATATTACATTAATTGATAAATGAATAGATTATTACTTATTTTTTGAGCAAGTTTTGTCCAAGAAATTCAGTGCCGCTTAATTAATCAGATATTCTAATTTTAGTCATCAGATGCGTTTAAACATGTTAAAATCTGAACTCATTAAGTTTAATTACTAAATAATTAGATTATCAAACGAGGCCACGTAATAGACTCGAAATTCTAATTCGAAAGCTCTACTTTGGCCCCATTGAGGAGATGAATTTCTTAGGTGTTTGCCTAAAATTTTATTGTAAATTAACTTAGAAGTTGTAGGAAAAATTTTTAAAATATAAACTTTTGTTCTTTCTTTCTTTTTCTTTTTTATTTTCTTTCTTTCTTTCTTTTTTCTTTTCTTCCTCTCTTCTTCTTCACCTTCCCCCTCCCCCTCCCTCGCCACTTTCCCTCCCCCGGCCGAAAGTTCCATTAGCAGAAACAATTTTTTTTCTTTTTCTCTTCCTCTCTTCTCCCTCTCCCCTTTTCCTCCCCCTACCCCTCACCCGTCGAATGTTGCAACAACAGAAACAAATTTTTTTTTTACTTTTTCTCTCCCCTCTTTTCCCTCTGCCTCTCCCCCTTCCCCCCATCTCCTGCCAACTCTTTCTCCCCGCGTCGAAAGTTACAGCAATAGAAACAACTTTTTTTTTTGTTTTTTCTCTCCCCTCTTTCCCCTTCCTTTCCTCTTCTCTCTCCTCCCCCTCACCAGAGTCGTGGTTTTGACTTTGGTCGCGACCAAATCGGGCAGAAGGGGAAGGAGAAATGAAGGAGAAGGGGAGGAGGAGGTGAGAGAGAGGCAATAAGAGAAAGAAAAAAAGTTGTGGCCAGAACTGGCGCGGAGGTGGTGGTGGCTTGGGTGGAAGAAGAAAGGAGGAAGACAACATTTTATGTGTTTTGGGTATTTTAAATGAAAATTTAAAAAATTTTGGAGTTGATATTACTATATTTAAAATTGTTAAAAAAAAACTGGTAGGAGTTGAACTTGACATAAAACTCATTTGCCAAACAGGCCCTTTATTGTGTCACTTTAACGTTTGGACTTCTCAAAACAACCTCGATTGACATTCCTATCAAAACTAGGTTGCGTCTGCCTGGACCCCTTCGAAGCCGACTTAGAATCATTGGTTTACCATTTCAGCCTAGGGATGTATGATGGCATTTAGAGGAAAAAAATAGGGATATTTCCTTCTTTTGTATGGGCTCATTAAATACTACTTAAACCCAAAATTCAACTAGTGCAGCTAGTGAAGCTATAAGTTTTTACTTTTAGCTTAGGAGAGATGAATAAAAGATGGAACTGAATCGAGGAAAAAAAAATTGGATTTCAGCTTCCAATCAGGCCTTGTTCCCATTCAAGAGAACCCTCTAAAAGATATTTTCGAAGCAGATATCACAGCCTGTGATCCCTAGGTTGCAGCACGTCCGCCCGTTAACTTCTCGCACCACTGCTGTCGTTTATAGAACCGACCCCTTGGACCTTTGAAGAAAAGTGGAAGACCCCGCTTTAATGTTTGAGTTAGAATAACGAGCTGCTCAGCGATTGGTCGGCGAACGATTGAGAGTAGTTGGTATCCTTACCAAGCTAGCATTTTCATAAGGCTTCTTTACAAGATGCTGAGGAATAAAAGCAACGGTTTCATCTATGGTGGAAAGCTAACTCATCTGTGCATGGTGGGAAGAGCAAAGGAAATTTGGCCAAGACATTATTGTGGGGCCGGCAGGATGCAGCTATTAAATGAACTACTGGATACCGGGTGTTGATTATGGGTCCATTGTATTTCTAGGAAAAATAAAATGTAAGTCTCTCAACAACTCATGAGCACTCATTTGCACCCAAAAATTGGCATCAACCAGGGAGCAGCTCCCCAGGCCAAATTGGTCAAATGCAATAATCCTTGGAGATATGTGGAAATGAAGCCATGTGTACTCCAATTTTAAACTATAAATGCTTACCTGATGAAGAGTTATGACTGTTGTAGACACCAAATTTTTGTCAATTTTTATATTTTCTTGAATTTTTCTATTTAATGAATTATTTATTTTCTTACATTTTAATGTGTTTTTTCTCATTTTGTAGATTTGTTTTTTGGAAAAAAAAAACAACAAAACAAAAGAGAAAAATCAAGAAATCAAAAATCATTTCATCATTTTCCCTACCAAAACAACTATTAACCCATTCCACACTCAATTGCAGGCACCTTTCTTTTCATTAGCTAAGAAACCATCATTTTGGGCAATCAACACACAAAACTCCCCACCTTTTACTTCCTCAATCTCCTCTCTCGGCTCTCTCCCTGAGGACACAACAGGGAAGCCAAAAAGAAAAAAGAAAATCTCCATCCTTCTCGGCTCTCTCCCTCACAGAACAAAAAGAAGAAAACACTCCCTCACTTTGCACACGGCTCACTCTCTCCCTCTCTCGGACCTGGCAGAGGAAAGAAACAGAAAACACACAAGAAGAAGAAGAAAAATCCCCCTCAATCTCTCGGTTCTCCTTTCTCTTTCCCCTCTCAATCTCACACACACCTACATTGAGGTAATTTTAGTTTTGTTTAGCACATTAAGGCATGCTTCATTGTTTAATTTTCTTTTGCTTTTGCTGGTTTCCTTGTTGTTGTTGTATTGTTAAAAAATTGGGAAATGGCATGAACCAGATTTAGGAAAAGGAAAGGTTTCTTGTGAATGCATGTTAATTGTTTGAAAAAATGCCAAAAAGAATTTTAGGGACTGTTTTACCTTAATGTAGTCTTTTGTTGTTGTTTTCTGGTTAGCTAAGATTATAGTTGTAATGTAGAGATTATAAGGAGTATTGTAATATTTTTTTATGATTTTTGGTGGGGGTTTAAAGGTTTTTAAGAAAATAAAAACTGGACTGATTTCTTGGCTTTTTGGCCACTTTAGGGCCAATTTTTGTTAAAACTAAGCCCGAAAATGGAATCTACGCGAAAAATCGAGTGGGGGGTGTATTTTGACGACCGCCGCCGCCGGCGGTCGCCATGGCCGCCAGCTGAAGCTGCCTCAGCTGGCCGAAGAAGAGGAAAAAGAAACGGCTGAAGGTGGAGGAAGAGGAAAAAAGACACAAAAAAAAAAGAGGCTCTCGGCTCTCTCTGGGCTGGACGAAAAGAAGAAGGAAAAAAAAAAGAGAAAAACTCCTCTCTCCTCTCGGCTCTCCTCTCTCCCAAATTTTTTCCAACATTTGCACACAACAAGGCAGCAATCGGTTGGATTGGAGCTTGGCAATTTCATAAAAAATCTTGGCAAAGGGACCAAACTCTTCATTGAGGTATTTATCTCCCTTTTTTCCAGCTTTTCTTTTTTAATTAACTAGATTGAATGTATGCGTGGTTACCTTTTTATTGCTTATTTTTGCTGGTTTTTGTTGGTGTTGTATGGATGAAATTTTGGGATGGGTCACTGAACAAAATTAGAAAAAAGAAACGGTGCTGTGAATGCATGCCAAATGTTTGAAAAAATGTCTAAATGAAAAAATGAATCAAAGAAGTGAATTTGGCGTGTATGTTTTGCTTAAATGGAAGACCATTAGCTAGCAAAGATCTGAAAATGCTTGGTTATCCAAAATTTTGGGAGTTTTTGAGCCTTAAAAGCATTAGAATAATTTTCTTCATTTTTGGGGCTGTTTTGATTTAATGCATCCTTTGTTGTTGTTTACTTGTCAAACTAAGATTATA